CATATGTTGTCTCTCTGAGATGAGAAGACTGTCATAGAAAGAGTTCAGAACTGATTGCGGACGTTGTATGGCTCATTCAAGCTGTGGGATGGTCATGCATGTCTCAGCTGGCTAAACTTGAGCCCGAAAAAGTCTGAATCTGGGTTCAAGAAGCCGTCAGCATGCGAGAATCTGCTTTTCTGGCCACCTGTCCATGTATGCCCGCAGGTCTATCTCAGTACGTAACGAGCTTCTGGGCTGATACTAATTGCTTCAGCCCTCGGCGTGCTCTAGACATTCTGGGCTTTATTCAACCGTTCTAGGGCATGCTTCTGCTCACGCAATGTGTTCTTGTAAACACGACTACAGCCGTATGTCTTCTGGCTCTGAGATCGAAGTCTTATCTTGTTCTTCCGTGCAGGGGCTCGCAGACTGTACCTTTCGGACCTCCTCGTCCGGTCGAAGGACCCCAGCCGACTCTCCCAACAGCGGTCTTGGAGCGCGTCAAGGCGTGTGTGGCTGCCACGGGCGACACTGCCTCCCGCTTCGATCGCCTCAAGATGGGCGACAGCGGGCCAATCTACGTCTTCCGGGTGGCCGGCCCGCGTGGCTGCCCGTACGGCAACCACCACGACGGCCATAACAACTTCAGCGTGCTCGTGCGCAAGAGGGACTTGCTCTATTGTTGCAACAGCTCGGAGTGCCAGGGGGTCCGCCCCCTGCTCAAGATCGGGGAGCTCACGCGCTCGGAGGCGGTGACTGGAGGCGAGACTCGGGCTTTCAGCGCCGATGACGTCAGCGCGATCAACGGCCTTCATAAGACATTCGTGGACGCCTGGGCCTTCGAGGGAGACGTGGGCGGCAGCAAGATCGTCGCCGAGATGTACGCAAGCTGCAGCAGGTGAGCCATTTACGAGGCACACAAGAAGTCACTGAAGCAAGACGTTTAGAGGATCTTTCAGAACGTCGACGGCTCTTGGACAGCATACGGCAGCTCTGGAACGGATCTCTCGGTAGTGGTCTGTCAACGGCGGTCTGATGTCATCTGAGAGGGTCCGATCTTAGCGTGTGTCCAAGTGTGCAAGGTCTACCACAATTTTCTCCGCGACCAACAATTGCTGACGTCATCGAAGATTTTCGGCCAGTCTCCGGTTGTTCGGGTGTCCAAGGGCCATTGCACACTTTTCGCGGCGGCCGGATGCTGACGTCATCATCGTGCTCTGAGGCCGTGCTGGAAACACTTTCAACCGCTGAACTTTTGTGGACACGAAAACTGGCAACGCAGAAATGATAGACCCTCTACGAACGCTGTCGAGACTCGTGTGAATCAAGATCCCACTTTTATTAGAAGAGCATATCGTATATCTGCTCTTCTGCAGGCTGCGTTTCGATGGAGAAAGCTGGTGGTATTGGAATGGAAGGCGCTTCGTGCGCGACGAGAAGAGCGCCTTCTATGTGAAGAACGTGCTCATCAATCAGCTCAGGACCGTCTACGCGCGGGTGAGGGACGAGTGGAAGGCATCTATCGAGAGGACCACCGACGAGAAGGAGCAAGAGGCGTTGACGGAGCAGCTCAAGCGTCTGCGCACCTACAACAACAGCCGAGAGATCACCAGTACGCTGGAACTCCTCCGCGGGGAGTTGGTCGATTTCGTCTTTGCTCAGCAGCTGGATGCAGATCCGGACATCTTGAACGTGAAAAATGGAGTGCTCCTTCTGAGGACTGGCGAGCTCGATGTGCACCGGCCCCAGTACTTCTGCTCCAAGATCACGGAGACGGACTTCATGGTAAGCTTCACATGCCGATTTAAAGAGACCCGAGCAACTTGCTTCTTTGACTAGCTAACACGCAACGAGAGCTGGCGGACCGTTCAGGGAAGATGCTTTCTGACTGTTCACAAGAATCCGAGCGTTGCCAGTTGCACGCGGGCTTTGCCATTGAATCCTCTGAAAGCTTCCGAGTCATGTGTTTCCGTCTTGGCACTAGTGTGCATTCTTTAGGATGCCTGAAGACGTGCTGATGCCATTTCTCTTCCGCTCAGAGAGGCAAGGAGTTGACTCGTTCCATCCATCAAGTGTGCCGATCAATTCTTGCAGGGGATGGAGTACCCCACTCCGCGCATGGACGCCTTTATAGGCGACATCTTCAACCACGACGCTGAGCTGGTCGACTACGTACGGAAGCTGTTCGGCTACGCCCTCAACGGCCATACGCGGGAGGAGGTCTTTGTGCTCTTGCTCGGAAAGGGAGGTAAAGTCACAAACTTTTTTGTCTCGGATCCAAGACTTAAAGGAACTGTGCAAGTGAAAATCCAGGGAGTTCTAGATGCCTCCAATCTTACATTGAGGTACGTGCTTCTCCAGCGCCGTGGGCGTCGGAGCTGGCGATGTGGGAAAGAAGTCGATCAATCATGGCTCCTACATATTGGCCTAGCAATTCACATGATTCCACAAGCTGGTCTTCAGCATCAACCCACATGGACGAGCCGCGGTTGCTTCTCGGTGGGGCCGATCCAACACTCATTATTGCCGATACTTCAACCTGATCTTTTGCCTTGATCCTTCTGCAGGAAATGGAAAGGGTGCCCTGAAGGAGATGTTGCAAGCTGTGGCCGGCGATTACTATGGCACCATGTCCAAGGACGCGGTCGTTACGGCACCTGGCCAGAGGGCCCCCTCTAAGAACGCGCCTACAAACTACCTTTACGAGTT